GACGACGGCCTTGGCCCTCTAAAAGAGCCGTCGAGCAGGAGCAGAGGACGGACCCGACCCCCTGAGCCGCGCCCGACACCGGAGACGACGGAGTCCATGGGAACTTGGCCGCGTCCTGCACTCCGAGTATTGAACCGTCGGCCGCTTCCTGACGCGTCTCGGCAGCGTCCATCGCCGACCTGGGAAACCCCCTGTCTGTCTCCACGTCCTCGGAACAGAAGGAAGATAAGCTGAGTTGTGGAGGCGACGCCTCCTAGCTCTGATTTCAGCCTCGGCTTTTCTGGGGAGACCGAGACTGGCTATCCGTACAGTTCTTGTAGGAGAAAAGGCCAGACGGTCGAGTACGAGTCCGTCACGCTTCGGCCCTCGACCGACGAGAGGGACATCGCGGTAATACGGGTACTGAAGGGCCGGACCGACGTGACTGCGACGTCTGTGCCTCCGTTTACAGGCACTAGCGACGAGTAGAGCCAGCCTGTCCTCGCCTGAGTCTCCATAGGAGAGGCCAGGAGGTACATCAGTCGAGGTCCGGAGGATCCGCCCAGTCGTACCACTCACTATGCAAAACCCTAACGGGACCGAACTGACTGTTGCGACGCCGAGGCGATATCCGGGACAACGGCAGTAGTACCTTAGTCCAGACGGAAGTCGCCGTCGCACCGAGCCAAGTCGCCGAAGCCGACAGCAAACTCGGTCGGACCTATCCTCGCACCCGACGGTGAGATCGCGCAGCGGGAGTACAGACCATACGCCTCGTCCGCTCGGAGAGGTATGGCAGTTTCAGGTCGATCCTCACGTGGGACCTAACCGCCGGAATAATGACTTCACCGCCAGAGAGCGTGCTCTGGCTGTGGAACAGGATCCGTAGAGGACCGACCGCACCTGGTCGGAGATACAGTCCTGCGCGACGAACCACACTCAGACACGGACTATAAGAAGTGGGATGCATTCGCTCTGGGAGGCTCCAGAAGGAGACCGACACTCCCTGTACCCGTACAGGTAGAGCACTCTGCACCGCGACCAACTTTGGTGAGCATTGTCCATGCAACGACTCTGTTCTATTAAAGGGGTGACCCGAATTAGCGGCCTCTTTTTCTCGTCGGTAAGAACAAGTAAAACACGAAACGTTGGACTGACAAAACAATGCTTTCTATAGTAGAAAATAAAGTAGGCTCAGCCTGTCCTCTTGAGCTCGTAGGAGAAGACAAAGGTACATAAGAATAAAAGTACATAGGAAAAATATAACGAAAAAAAAACCTCTGGTACCACTCCGAGAAACAACATCGGGGTCGAAAACTGTGAGTCGCGAACACCCGAGGTCGAGAGCGCCGACAACGCGGTGCCCCGGGGTCGGACTGTGCCGCGCCCCGAGCCCAAGTCGGCACGACCGACAGAATAATTCGACAGCCGACTCAGATTTTCGGTCACCAGTCGAGGAAGAAGAAGCGGGCGGCCTGACAGCCTCCTCTCCTCTCCTCGGTGACAGAGCTGGAAGTTCCCTGTTCCCCAGCTCCAGATGTGTTTTCGGGGTGCCACCAGGCCCCCATCTTCCCGCCGCCTCGAGTGATACCGCAACGCTAT